CTGTTAAGTCCTGGCTGCTCCAGCAGGCCGGGGGGCTCTCGGAATATCCAGCCCCCCCCGGAGATTGTGACTGTTGTATATTTTTATGTTGTTTGTGTATTATTTCCCCTCCCTTGTTTTATTGTAAGCCGCCCGGAGTCCTTCGGGAATGGGCGGCATACAAATCAATAAAACTATAAACTATCTTTCATTTGAGCTTTAACTCCTCTTTGCTAGGCTAGTTCTAAACAGATTACAGCATTCCTTGTTTCTTCCGTCATAAACTATCTGGAATTTCTTAGTCCCATATTTAATTTTTGGTCGCAGATGTTTTATACCCAACTAAGTAACATCACCAATGCCCTAGTTTACTAATGACTTCTTTATCGTCGTGGCCAGAAAAAACTAAAGGAAAACCAAGGAAGATTCATCAGGAAAGGAGATGGAAGATGGCATAAATGTGCCAAAAATCTTGCCCCTGCCAATTTAAATGAGTATTTTCAACTTTAGAATAATAATGCAACTAAATATAATCTCACTCAAAATCCTTGCTCCTTGGTGGATAGACAGTTCCCCGATTGTCCTTTATCTTTCTTTCAGTTTATCTTGAACCTGACAAAGGGCTAGTTTTGGTAAAGCAGGTTACCTGGCCATCAATCAAGCCCTTGCTTATTGAGAAACTGTTAGAAAATTCTGTCCTTCTTCCCTTTGTCCCTCCCTCTCCCCTTCTTCCTAAATTGTTATGCAACAGAAAAAGTCGTACCTACAACAAACTCTGTCTGACTTTGGTGTTTCTCTTTCTTCAAACTCTTTTTTTGTTTTTTCAACCCATCTCCAGCTTTCTGTATTGGCTGTTTTTTGGGTCTTTCACTCCTTTTGCTCTTTAAAACTCCTTCAGCCTGGAAACAAGAAAAGAAGAATCAGATATAGACCTTTCCTTTTTAATGTCACCCTACCCTCTGTCTGGGAAGCGAGTGCATGAAGAAAAGCAGAGGCTGGGCTTAGTCCAATTCATCCCTATTGTAATTTTTCCAGAAAGCAGCATCTTTTTCTCATCTGTACTGAGTACCTCTGAAGTGAACTGCGTCAATCTACTAACTGACCAGAGGTGGGTTCCTACCAGTTCGCACCTATTCAGTAGAACCGGTTCGTCAAATCTACCAAACCGGTTAGAAGAAGTTCCACCAGTGGACCCGGAAAGCAGGCCACACCTACAGAAGAGGTTCCAAAAATTTTTGAA